TTCCTTTCCTTTCCTTTCCTTTCCTTTCCTTTCCTTTCCTTTCCTTTCCTTTCCTTTCCTTTCCCTTCCCTTCCTTCTCCTTTTCCTTCCTTCCCTTCCCTTCCTCCTTTCCTTTCCTTCCCTTTCCTTTCTCCTTCTCTTCCCTTTCTTTTAATCTTTCTGGGTTGGGCAGACAAATTTTTGAGGACACATCATAGGATATGAAGACAGCGTCTAGCTGATGAAGCTCATCAAAACTTGCAAATTCCAGTAAGAACACAGAATATAGAATGACAGGGTACTTGGAGGTCTTCTAGTCCAACCCCTGGACAAATGGCTGTCCAGTTTCTTCTTGAGCAGCCACAAGTTCTAGAGGCAAGTTCCGCCCTACCGATCGATTGCTCCATCTATCAGAAGAGGAGCCGCCCCCCCCCTCCCAGCCCTTCCCAATATAGGCCTCTGACTGGGGGGTCGGGGGGTCCCTGCCAGCTTCTCCTCACCGCCATCGCAAGGAGGCTTACCCAGCCGAGGAGACCTGGGCGCAACTCGCAGAAGAATTTGAGATCGAAGAGCCCAAGGCGCGGGTTCAACTCGTGGCCCATGAAGAAGTCATAAACGGGGTTTCCTGCAGGAGGGGAGGGGGGAGAAACACCCCCAAACTTTTCCCGAAACCTTCAAAAGTGCCCAGGTGAGCACGGCAGGGGTGGCATTCAGCCGGTTCGGACCAGTTCTGCAGAACCGGTAGTGGAAATTTTGAGTAGTTTGGAGAACCGGCCAATCTCACCTCTGACTGGCCCCACCAACCCCATCTTCTATTCTCCGCCTCCCATCGAGTCCCAGCTGATCGGCTGGGTCTCCTTTGGTTGCCCTGCATAGGAGAACGGAGCTGGAAAGCAGGTCAGTGGGGTGGGGAGGGAAGGGGGATTTTGCAGTATATCCTTCCCCTGCCACGCCCACCAAAGCCACGCCCACAGAACCAGTAGTAAAAAACTTTGAATCCCACCACTGGAGCACGGCCTTCATTCCTCTCCTACTTCCCAGGAAAACTGCCCAATACCGCTACAGTGGGTCCTCAGGTTACGAGCACAGCTGAGCCCAAAATTTATGTTGCTAAGTGAAACATTTGTTAAACAAGCTTGCCCAAGAATAGAATAGAACAGAATATAATGGAGAAGAGGGAATGGAATGGAATGGAATGGAATAGAATAGAATAGAATAGAATAGAATTGAATTGAATTGAATGTAGGATAGGATGGGATAGGAGCTTGAAGGTCTTCTAATCCAACTCCCTTCTCAGACAAGAAACCTTACACTATTTCAAACTAGTAGCTGTCCAATCTCTTCTTAAGAACGTCCAGTGTTGGAGCAACCACAACTTCTGGTGGCAAGCAGTTCCACTGGTTAATTGTCCTCACTTTCAGAAAGTTCCAGGTGGCTTCTCTCCTTGATTAGTTTCCATCCATTGTTTCTTGTCTTGCCTTCTAGTGCTTGACTCCCTCTTCAGTTGTGGGTGCTCCAACTCTGGAGGCTTTTAAGATTGGAGATTGGAGAGCCACTTGTCTGGAATGGGATATATACGGTCTAAAAAGTCTGCAGGAAAATCCCCCACCCCGTTTTCCTACTGATCGATCATTCTTTATTTGGGATCGCAGGATACCGTCTCCAGCTCCGTTCTCAGGGGGAGAGAGAGAAACTTTTGGCTTCATGCAAGGAAAGCAGCAGAAGCAGCAGGAATCTTTCTTTCTCTCCCCCAAACTCCGCCAGAAACGAGTCTTTGCCTGCGCAGCCTCTTGGAGCAGGAGGCCCTGCAGGGTCCCAAAGTCTCATTTCTGGCGGAGTTTGGGGGAGAAAAAGAAAGACTTTGGCTGCTTTCCTTGTGTGCAGGCAAAAGCAGAAGCAGAAAGAAGCAGCCCGGTGGCCAGGCCAGGCGCGTGGGGTGCATAGGGCAAGTTCCCCCCCCCCCCCCCCCCCTCACTACCTCGTGTGGTTCACAATGCAAGCGATGCAAGCCTTGTGTTCCTGCAGGCCATGTGGGTGGCGCAGCCTTGTGTTTCTGCGCAGCCTGGATTAATTGCTTTGGGGGTGACATTTCTCTGCGGACCACCAAAATTTTCTCACAGACCACCAGTGGCCCCCAGCCCACCGGTTGGTGACCCCTGGACTAGAAGACCTCCAAGGCTCCTTCCCACTCCGTTATTCTATTATCTTAAAGTCGCCAAGAGGGAGAAACCCTGCGCTAATCTCTTTGAAGACTGCAATGGGGATTGACATTCCCTTCTCCGCGCTTGTCCTCAGTCCACAGCCCCCACTGAGTTTTCCAGATTTGGGGGGCCCCTACCTGAATTCCCACTGGGAGCCAAGGCTGTTTCTGGGGCCAGCAGAGCCTTGAAATAGAGAAGGACGCTGAGACCAAAAGCCAGGACCGTCGCTGCAAAGGCCAGCTGCAGGATGTGATCGTAGATGTAGCTCAGGCGCAACCCGCCAGCCAGTCCGGCACCCAACACCAGCGCTGTAACCAACATGGCATAGAAACCTACCCAAAATGAAAAAGCAAGAAGGGGGATTTGTATCCCAAATGAGATCCACGGCTCAGGAGTTCTCTGGGAACTCTAAAAACTGAAAGTAGGCAAAGAATTGACGGAATCATCGTCTTCTTCGAACAATCTTTCATAATCTTTTGTGGGGTGGAGTCGGGACAACTGAATGGAGCTGGGTGTTTGTTTACTGGTTCTATGGCTAGAACTGAGTTGCTTGTATCTTTACAATTCTTATTGCTTTATTTGTTCCCTAGTATGACTTGATTGTTTATTAGTAACCTATGACTATCACTAAGTGTTGTATCTTAAATTCTTGATAAATGTATTTTTATTTTTTCTTTGTCTACACTGAGAGCACATGCATTCTATTCTATTCTATTCTCATTTCCATTTATTCTATTCTTTTTACTCTAAGTTCTATTCTTATTCTTATTCTATTCTTTTTCACTGTCCCAAAATATCTACCATTAATGCGATATTGCAGCCGGCTCTTATCCCGAAGAAGGCTTCCTTCCGTGATCTGTTGGGGAATAAAATAAAATAAAATTAGAAAAAAAAAAACCAGAATTTCCGTAAGATCTTTGCAGCAGGCCATCTGGTCAGACAAAACAAGGAATTAATACCCACCCAAATGGGCACTTGATGAAAAGATTCGTTTAAACACTTGCAGCAATTTATTTAACAACCGTAGCAGAAGAGGGTCGTAAAACGGGGATTTAATGACGTTGCTTAGCTACAGAAATATTGCTTAGTCTTGCTTAGCAACAGAAATTCTCTCCATTGGGGTTGTGAGTTGAGGACCATCTGTCATAATAAAAACTTTGTCTGAGTAATAGGTCCCAATTCTCCTAATTATTAAGAGTAGAATGCTTTTTGGTTCTTTCTTCTGCCTGCTGGAAACAGCTTTGAATTTACTGGTGTCCTTTTTATAACCATTTTACACTCCACTGGTCCATCTCTGTCCAAGCAGAATAACAGAATAACCAAGCTGGAAGGGACTTTAGAGTTATTCTAGTCCAGCCCCCTGAACCTTTGCCATTCAAGACAAACAGCTGTCCAGTCTCTTCTTTTTGTATAAATTGCTTAAAATTTTTTTTAACCATGTAAAATGTAAAAATTCAATGTCTACATAAGCAGAACGTTGTCTGGGTACAGTTAATTTTCAGAAATTGTAATAATATTCATAACATTAATAATGATCATATAATAATCCATGTAATGAACCTTCCTTATATAATTAATCATTCTCTTATGCTTTTAAATTTCTAACTTCTGTTTCTATTAGTTAGCCATTAGTAAAACAAATCTCATGTTAAAAAGTATTCAGTTTCTTCCTTCTCCTTAATCTATCCATTTCTGCACATTCTAATATTTTTTTAAAATTACAATTTCATCTCTAGGGATCTCTTCATTTTTCCACTGTTGTGGAAACACAATTCTGGCTTCTGTTAACAACGGTAAAATTAGATACATATTCCCTTTATAGTTCTCTGGTAAAATACCCAAGAAAAATATTTCTGGCTTTAGATCTATATGTTGCTTTACTATATTTTTTTTACTATTTTTTTGTGTATCTTGTCCAATATTTTTTTGCCTTTGAGCATGTCCACCACAGGTGGTAATATGAGCCCGATATCTAGTTACATTTCCAGCACTTAGTGGAGATATCCTTAAACATCTCCGCTCATCTTGCAGGCAGAAAATGCCATCTATAAAACATTTTAGTTTAGTTTACTTTATTGTCATTGCACCTCGTACAACGAAATTAAATACAGTGTACATGGTGACTATGAAAATAAAGCACAAACACCCATCCATCATATTCCATACACTGAATTGAAAACCCCTGATATTGCATTAATATTGCACTAGACCCTACCCTGGGACAGAAGCTGTTTTTCAGCCTATTTGTCCTTGTTTTTATTATTCTGTACCGTCTGCCAGATAGAAATAGTTCAACATTTTATATACATTTTATTTGAGCTGTCCGGTCTCTTCTTGAAAACCTCCAGTGATGGAGCACTGACAACGCCTGGAGGCAACTTCAGTTCACGTGATTAATTGTTCTCACTGTCAGGAAATTTCTCCCAGAAGGAAACCCTTTGCCTTCTTCCAGGATTACATCCCATACAGCTTTTCCTCCCATTATACAGATGAGGAAAACTGAGGCCGAAGCCAACTGGGCAAGCAGGAGCCTTACCTTCCCTATGGGCAGCCAGTAGAGCAAGGCTTGAAATGCCAGCCAGGCCAGGACCAGAGCGAAGTCTTGGGGACTCCAGAGGGAGCGGAGGGAGGGCAGCGGCCAAGGGGGGCTCAGTGCGCTGGCCTGCTCTGTCCTGCAGACCAGGAGTAGGTAGAAGACGGTGCTGGGCATCACAACCATTAGGAGGGCTACCCCTGTAAGGAGGAGGAGGAGGAGGAGAAAGGAGGAGGAGGTGGAGGAGGAGGAAGAAGGAGAAGAAGGAGAAGGAGGAGGAGGAGGAGGAGGAGGAGGAGGAGGAGGAGAAGAAGAAGAAGAAGAAGAAGAAGAAGAAGAAGAAGAAGAAGAAG